TGAGGAGCCACAGCCCTGAGGGGAGTGAGGAGTCTGAGGAGCCACAGAAGCTCTGTGTAATGCCCTGCTGCAACAGTCCCACTGTCTCCAGCTATTTTTTCCTTGAAATGCAATTTCCTTGGGGACACACATGGCAGATATCATACAGCTCATCTGACTGCTAGCCCTTGTCTCTTCAAGTTGTCTCCAGAAAAGCAAGACAGTAAGAGGTCTATGATAACAAGAACCCTAGAAGAGAACACTGAGTAAGCCCAGTAAAATCTAGAACCAAATTCTTCCTTGATGAATATGATGGTGAACTGTTTGTGAAGTCAGCCTAATTATATATTTCTATAAATAAAAAATCACAGGTTAATTTTTCTACCAGGCAGGGTATGGTAGCATACACCTAGAATTCCAGCACTTGGAAGGCTGATCCTACATAGCAAGATCCAGGCCAACCTGTCTTAATTTTTAACAAAGAATCAACAAGCTACTAAGTGCTGATGTGCCCAGCTGCATTAAAGTTCAAAGTTCAACTTTGCTTTAAACATCAAAAGAGTAAGTGTTCCTGGTACTTATTCAGAAGAACCATTTGGGCCATGTTCAATTTTTCCAAGTCACTGTTTTGTTCTAAAGAAGGAAGGAAGGAAGGAAGGAAGGAAGGAAGGAAGGAAGGAAGGAAGGAAGGAAGGGAGGACAGACATAAGAAAAGATGAAAGGAAAGCTATTTTAAAGGATTTTTTTTAGCCAAGAAAATGCTAGCTACTAAATAACTGCTTGATGAAACTATTAGAGTGACCAGACCAACTCGTTTTTACAGACACCAATACATTACACCAAAATATCTCCTTTTGTAAGTTCTCCACTTAAAAAAACATCTTCACAGTCTGTACTTCCACAGTCAACTTGGGGACTAACAAAAATATTCCCATTTGTTGTCATGGCTGAATTTCCAGGGAAGCACAATGCCTTGGCATCCCCTTGCATGCCCCCCCCCTCACTGCACCTTATCTTTGTCATCCAGCAAAGCAGAGATCCGAGGGCTTGAGGAGGAACGGTGGATGGAAGAACCTCGATCCCTAAGGGCCTCCCTGGAATTGGCCACTTCACTCAGCATATTGTGGCTACCAGTTTTTCTGAGTCCCAGTCTCCATGAAGAAGGAGATTCGTCTTTAGGCTCTTCTGCCTTGTTGAAAAGACTGGACAACTATAGGGGAAGAGGAAGAAGGGAAAAAGTTCTGGTGATCTAGTCTGCTTCACCCGACTTTCTTTTTCCCTACTTGATCAAGTTCATGGAGCAGCCAGGGATGTACTAGAACAGACCCCTGGCAGGCTTGCTGCCCCTGTGCCCACTCACTTGGCAGATGCTGGATGCTCCCAAGGGCTCTTTCTTCAGAAGCCAGCAGTGAACTCCAATTCTTAGTGCTCCTGCCCACAGACCTGCTCTGAGAAAGGAAGGAGCCCCTTTGCTGCCCTTGTGAACCAGCACTGTCTCGGAGCACCAGGAGACTGCTCTGGTGACTCCTTTTCTCTTGACTTGCTGGGTACCTGAAATAAGCTACTTTTCTTCTCTATGTCTTAATGTGTTTATCTGTAAACTGTGATATGAACTTAATTCTTCCACCTAACACAGTCTGGAGAAACAGGATGAGCTAATGCATAAATATATATAAAGGCAGTGTTCTTTCATGTGATGAACTAATTGTTTTCTCTTATTGAAAACAAATTTCCCTTTAATCCCAGCACTTGGGAGGTAGAGACAGGCAGATTTCGGAGTTCGAGGACAGCCTGGTCTACAGAGTGAGTTCCAGGACAGACAGGGCTACACAGAGAAACCCTGTCTCGAAAAATCAAAAAAAAAAAAAAAAAAGAAAACAAATTTCTTTTTCTCACACAATATAATTACAGCAGTTTCCCTTCTGTCTACTTGAAGTTCCTCCTGACCCTGCCTTCCATCTGGATCCCTTCTCTTTGTATCTCTCATAAAAAAAAACCAAAAAACAAAAAACAGGCTCCTAAGTGCTAATCATTGACTATAATAACAAAAACTAACATATTGGAATTGGACAAAACAAACAAACAAACAAACAAACAGGAAAAAAAGACCCAAGGAGAAGGTATAAGAAACAGTTCTCACACTTACGAATCCCATGAAAATATCAGACTGGTATAATATACACAAAAACTCTGGTTCAGACCAGTGCATGCTGCCCTGTGCATGCTGCCTCAGTCTCTGTAAGTTCATGTGAGCTTTGATCGTGCTGATTTCCTGGTGTCCTCTACTGTCTCTGGCTCTTACAGTGTCTCTGCCTCCTCTTCCACAGGGTTCCCTGAGCCCTGAGGGGAGGGACTTGAGGGAGACAGTCCATTTAGGGCTGAGTGTTCCAAGCTCTCTCATGTGATGAGTTAATTTTAAGTTAATACTAATGATGACTTCACAAAATTCTAACTATACTATTACAAAAATAATCTATTTGATATTAAGAAGCAATTTCAAAGAGTTTGACAATTTCATTGAACAAGAAATTTTAAAAGATAAAATCTTTAGGAGTAATAAGGTCACTATATTTCTTATTCTGCCTAGACAGAATATCTTTCAAAGGGATCACTAGCTTACCACCACCACAATTTCATTAAAAATAATTTTTAATATCAAAAAAGGAAGTTGGGCATGGTGACACATGCCTATAATTTTAGCATTTAGAAGATAAAGGTTGGCGGATCAAGGTCATGCTCAGCTGCATAGTAAGCTTGAGGTCAGCATGGCCTATGGGTACAGAAGGCCCTGTCTCAAAACCATAGAAACGAGAAAGAAAGTTTACAATGGGATACAGCTCAGTGGTAATATGCTTGTCTAGGATGTTCAAAATCCTACATTCTAAGTGTCAGCACTAAACCAAACAACAACAAAAACACTACTTGAACAATTTTACATTGTTTTTATATAAAGCAGGGAAACAGGCTAGAAATATGGTTCAGTGGTAGAGTGCTTGCTTAGCATATACAAGGCATAGCCATACAAGGTTCAATTCTGCAAAAACAGAGAAACACATCAGGAAAACATCATAGCATTACCAGCATTACCCAGAAACCAGATTAGGGTCTTTAGGGTATACTGGTCCTTCAGATATCAGTCCGTTTCCTGGGGTCTAGGGACCCTTATTAAAAAAAAAAAAAGAAAAAATCTTGGATCTTTCTTCTAAACCCAGGCCATCTTTGCTGCTTTACCACTAAAATAAGCCACTCATTCCCATCCACCTTCCACTCAGATTTTCTCTTGTCTCCAATCATCTGGATATACACATTTATGAGCCCCTTTCTTTTTACAAGCCTTTCCCAGTATGATTTTAGCAAAATAGACCAAGTACGTGTATCTGTATTTCTTAAGTTGGTAATGTTCTTTTATAAAAAGTAGGAAACGCAGTCGCAGCAGAAGTCCCAGGATCTGAGGAGCAGTGAACGGCTGGACAGTGAGCAAGGACAGCACTCCACCTAAAGCCTGGCTAATGAGTCACAATGATGCTTCTAAAATAAAGAAGGCCTGGCTACGCTTGGTTTCATTTCCACTAAGGAGGACAACTAAAAACCTCTAAGGCCAGAGAATTTCCCCAGTTGTCCATTCCAAATACCACAGACCTTGCTACCAGAAGCCTACAGCTTCTCAGAGGCCTACATAAAGTTGATCCAGGAATGCCTCTGGCATTTCAACCATACCTTCTTCTCCCACCCTTGCCCATCATACAGGACAACAAACTTACTCATAAGACTAAAGTTTTCATGAGAAGTAGAAAAAGGAATTGCCATAAAAACAATTCTGGATGCTACATCTCTTCTACCCAGTCTACTTTGTACACAGTTATCTTTGTTTTCAATGTGAAAAAAACAGGTAAAACACAGAATCTGTTTGGTCTCAGGATACTTTCATCCTGTTATTGAAACACATTTGTAGGCATATTTGTTTTGTATTGGTTTTTCAAGGATGTGAGGGCAATGTTATGGAGAGAATTCTTGTGTCCCTCTCTCTAAAATTCATATTAAAGCCTTAAGCATCAGGACTGCATCTGGAGCCTGAGCTTCTGAGGAAGTGACAAAAGTAGAATGAAGTCAACAGGGTAGCTGGCCTTTCTCAGAGGGAGACACTTGCTTCCTACACGTTAAGCTACAGCAAGAAGGAGGCATCATTAACACAGGAAGACAGCCCTCATGAATAACTGGACTGCCTAGCACATTGTTCTGGGAACTCTCCAGCCTCCAGAACTGTAAGAAGCAAATTCCTATTTTTAAAGTCACAGTTTATAGTAATTTGGTGTAAGAGCCTAATACAGACAAAAATGTACTCCTACTGTTTTGCAAGAATTAGTCTTTGAGGCCTTTGTGTGTTACTGTAGTACAGTAAAATATAATCGCAAATCAATCTCCAAGTACTCACTCTCCTAGCTGAAGAGGCAGAGAAGGTGTTCTGAGCTGGGGCTGGGATCTGCTCCACGATCTGACTCTTGCTTTCAGAGTTGGAATGGTTGACAGTGGCTTCTGGCTTTTTATCTGTTATTGAAGACAAGAGATACAAGTATAAATATGAAATCTTATCTTACGTGTATAAACCCTTTTCTACTAAGAAGAAAAGCTTTGCCATTCTCAAAGCAGATTATTAGGACCATGGAATGTCTGGACTCACTGTAGAACAAATTCTAGCAACTACATGTAGAAAAAAATAAATTGAAGGATATCCTTATCTTGGTAGGCTTCAACTTCTGATAAAAACTGTCTCTACACCAATGCATGTGTATAGTTATATTGTAAAAATTCATTGTTATAAAAAATCTGTTCAGTTTTGTAGGGAACTCGTCTGGGAAATAAATACACACAAAATGCACATGCTAGACTTTGCTTTCTAGGTAATTACAATAAAAAAGAAATAAGACAAATTATAATAAAAACACAAGATGGATATAGTTGATTCAGATCAATAGATATTGTAAATTTTAAAGAAGGGCAGAGCCTCTGAGGAAGAAAATAAGAAAGTTGCTCTAATCAGACAGGGTTCTCTAAAAAGCTCCAGAGAAAGCTGAAAGATGGATGGATGGATGGATGGATGGATGGAAAATGCTGACTCAGAGATCACAGTCACATGTCCACTGGTTAGTAACTGACTGACCTAATTTAAATAATGAGTAATTCTTGGGGCTGCAATAGGACCTAACATTAGAAAGGATTTCAAACAATGTAGATTAAGTTACAGAACTTCAGTCACAGAACTCATATAACTAGGTGTGGTCCAGCCCAGCAGGGCCATCAATCTGGCTGTATATCAATTAATTACTAGCACAGTGCTTGTACCTAATGGCTATGATTCTGGAATTTATATTCTGAAAACAGGTACAGAGTAAACTACATGGGTCCTGTGGTAATTATAAACTACATCTAATTATGTGATAGTAAGCTTCTTTATGTTATTAATGTTATTGTTTGGTAGTTATTATAATCATCAAGGCATTTTTTAAGTACTAAGCTCCAAGAAATCTAGTGTATTAACCAAATGAAATAGATTGTTACAGTACTAGCTTGTGATGTGTCATGCATCCTTGAACCCGAAGACTCAGGTAGTGCATTCTTCATGCCAAGTTTGGGCTTGGCCAGGTGACTTGCTATGGCCTCTGAAACATCAGCAACTGAGACCCTCAGTCTTGCCCTCTATAACTATTTTGAGAATCCAGATGCCACATGAAGAAATAGGGCCAGGCCTGCTTGACGAGATCACGTAACCTAAACACCACAGCCGAACAGCAGAAACATGAGCAATATTATCTGAGACCGACTAGCCCTCCATATGCTTTACTAGTTGAGGCACAAACATGAAGAAGTACACCATTGTCTTAAGAAAGAGACAGGCAATCCAGTGGTCCCTTCCCCAGTTACCAAGCCATAGAATAGAGTTCACGAAGAATCTTTGTTTTTGTTTGGCTTTTTCTCCGTTTCCCTCACTGAGACAGTCTTATGTATCTCAGTGTGACATCACACCGGTTATGTAGCTGGGAGTGACCTTGAATTTCTGATCCTCCTGCTTCTACTTTCCAACTGCTAGAATCATAGGTGTGTGTCAGAGGCCAGGTTTTATGCAGTGCTGGGATTTAACCCATAGCCTTGAACAAGTTAGGCAAGCACTCTACCCACTGAGCCATAGCCTAGTTCAGCAGCTACTGTTTTAAACTATTAAGTTTGGAGATGGTTTATTATGAAGCAATAGAGAATTGATAAACAAAGTATCTAAGTCAGACTAAAAGAGAGAGAAAATAGAATATCTAATAAAAAATGCTTTATTCACCTCAAAATATAATTGATATTTTTAATAATATCAACATGTAAGATATATGAAAACTATAATTTTTCTGAAGTTGTATCCATGGAGCTTTAAAAATGGAAGAAAAGCAGTCAACAGATATTTGTTTAGTATCTACTCATGGGATATGCAACATCAGGAAAGGCTTAGGTAAAACCCACTGCTGTGCTCCAGCTAATATTTAAGGAACACCTACACAGAGAAGGCCATGTGGCACGCAGAAAGATAGAGACGACACACAAGAATGTTCAAATGCATCCAAAGCTTATCTACTGGACCAGCACGAGGGGCAAGGAAAAAACAAAAATAGCTTGAATATTAAGTAGCATGAGAAAATTAATATAAAAGAATTTCAAACAAACAGCTACTAAAATCAAGAGGAGGAAAACGTAATCTATATGGTAAGGTAACAGAAGTTGATCTGAATTGAGCTCTGAGACAGAGCAAAGAACTACAGAAATGAGTGGAGGAGTGTGCTAGAACCATTTGGCTTCTGCTCACACCAGGCCACTCAAGGGTTACTGGTGATTTTCCTGACTGCTGTACGATCCCTGCATGTTCCTATCTCACTACCACTCACCACTGCTGGCTTCTCTGAGGTAGAAATCCATATCCTCTTGGTCAGACATCTTTGTCTCTTTCACTAACATCGCCTTAATTTCTAACACAGAATGCTGAGATTCTTTCCCATCTCTCGTTTTCTACACTCTTAGGAACCTCACACTTCTGTACGGTTTTTAATTATTACTATTTTTATATGTGTTAAGTGTTTGGCCTGCATCTGTGTGTGCATCACACACCTACCTGGTGACCACAGAATCAGAATCCTCTGAAACTAGAGTTATGGACCGTTGTGAGCTGCTACCATGGGAGCTGGAAACTGAATTTGGATCCTCTTCAAGAGCAACAAGTGCACTTAACTACTAAGCCATCTTCCCAGCCCCCCTTTGCTACAGTTTTATCTTTTACTTCTTATACAGATTTTCCACTGTCTCTTTCTGCTGTGTGGAGCTCCCCCAGTGAGCAGTGCCACTGGCTAGCTCTGAAACCTACTTCACCTAATGTTGTTCAGTGTCGTGTCGATATCTCATTCTAAAAGAGGAGTAATAAGGATATATGCTCTAAGGTATGGTTGTGGGGATTAAATAAAATTGTTTAATTGTATTGCAAAGGAAAAAGCACTATGCAGATATAAAGTTGTATTATAATTCCCAGAATGAGCCATAATCTTACCTACTAGTGACTGCCACAGATAGCATTTACTTCTCTCTTATGACCTGTATGTTATTACACAGTACTTTCTAGTCCCCTATTAGGATAGTCAACAGAACCACTAAATGAAGAGGATGGTTGTCATATGCTGAAATCTAGAGTAAAATAACAAACACAGTATTCCCAGGAAAACTGGTAAGTATTAGAACAAAAATAAGTGCACCATGCTACAGAGAAACGGAGTAAAAAGCCCAGGGTAAGAAAACACAGAACAGGATTTATATTACTTACTTGTCTCATAACAAAAGACCTGACAAAGCAACTTAAAGAAGGTATTGCTGTGGCTTACACTTCTGGGATATAGAGTCCATTATGAAAGGAAAGGTAGCGGGTCAGGAGCAGAAGTGGCTAGCGGCTAGCCACATTGTGAACAGAGTTGGACAAATGTTCAGCTAGCCTTCTCTCTTTTTTATGTAATCTGGAAACCCAACCTATAGAACAGGGCCACCCAAACTTACAGTGCATCTTCCCACCTCAACAATAACCTAATCTAGAAAGTCCTTCACAGACACGACCTGTGAACCTGAGAAGTCTGCCTCCAAAGTGATTCTAGACTCCATCAAGTTGACAAGAACAACCATCCCAGATCTAGGCTCAGGTGCCGGAGACTCAGTCCCTACTTACTATATATACTCACTGAGAGGTGAATGGATCCTAAGGGCTCTGCCTCACTGATGGATATGCACTGACACACTCAGAATTTGCTAGCACCCTCAGGAAATAGTAGGAGGTGAACAGGGCACTGGGAGTATATGGTCTCTGACCCTTTTCTGTCGCTCTCTACTTCCAGGCTGTTATGCCAGGAGCAGCTGTTCTACCACATTTATCCCATCCCATGACATTCTTAAACCACAGTTCTGAAACATGGAGGCAGTTGACTGTGGACTGAAACCTTGAAACCATGAGCCAAAATAAATCTTCCCTTCTCATACACAGTTCCCCTCATGTACTTGTCACTGTGATAAAAGACAGTTAATACAGGCTCCAATTGCTATAACTTTCTGTACCAGAAAAACACTTCAATCTTCTAGACCCCACATTTTCTAACAGAATTCACCCAGCAAGTATTTATGATGATATGAAGTGAATTCAAAAATACAAATAAACATTCAAGGCCAGGAAGCTGAGGTCATATCTGAGAAAGTCAAGCAATCCAATTGAGCTACAATGTGCCCTTGCCTATGCAGAGCACTAAGAATGTCTGTTGGAGCCAGACGGCCAGAAGCCTTGAAAGCTAGACTACAGGGTTTAGAACTTACTCTGCAGACAAAGATAGAATGAGGAAACTGGAAGATTTCTGAACAGAAGTATACTTTAATCATGAAGGTATTGTCAATATTTAGAAGTATACTTTAATCATGAGGGTATTGTCAATATTTTATTCCAATAGCAGTATGGACATGGTCTGTGTACTAACTTTATGTGAATCTGACACAAACTAAGAGGTCTGAGAGGAGGGAACCTCAATTAAGATAATGTCCCCAGCCAGGCAGTGGTAGTACATACCCTTAATCCTAGCACTTAGGAGGCAGAGGCAAGTGGATTTCTGAGTTCGAGGGCCAGCCTGGTCTACAGAGTGAGTTCCAGGACAGCCAGAACTACATAGAAAAACATTGTTTTAGGGAGAAAATAAAAGGAGGAGGAAGGAAGAAGGAAGAGGAGGGAGAGGAGGAGAAGAAAGAAGAAGAAAGAGAGAGGGGGAGATGAAGAAGCAGCAGGGGACAGGGGAAGGGAGAGGAAGAGGAAGAAGGAGAGGGAGAGAAAAATGCTTCCCTATGATGAGGCAATAGGCAAGCCTCCTGTACGAGCCTGTTGTGTAAGCCTGCTGAGCATTTTCTTATTTGGTGATTGATGGGGAGGGCCCAGCTCACTGTGACTGTGCCACCACCTGCCCTGACTTCCTTCTGTGATGGATATGGATGTGGAAGCATAACCAGATAAACCTCCTCCACAACTTGCTTTTTGTCATGGTATTTAGGCTGAGACCAGAGACAGGAGTGTAAATCAGGAAGCAAAAGCATCAGTTTGAGTAGCTTCCTCCCATTTCCCTATTATCATAGTGACTAACAAGAAAATGTAGCATAGAAAAAGCCTAAACATAAATTCCAGACACTGTGTGAAAGCTAGACTATGAGAGTCCTCAGTAAATAATACAAATAACAAAAAATACACATTTGTAACTTTTGGTGGATGTAATACCAGCATTTTCAGAACAAGTCACAAATAATCAATAATAGATTTTTTTTTTTAAATTTTAAGAGGCACAGTCAACACCACTGTGTTCTTCCAGAAAATCCAGGTTCTATTTTCAGCACCCACATGGCACTCACAACCATCTGTAACTCTAGTTCCAGGGGATCTGAGGCTGTCTTCTGGCTTCCTCAGGTACTGCATGCATGTGGTACACAGACATGCATGTAAAACACCATAAACATAAAAATAATAAAATACTTGAATGGAAATCTAAGGCTCCATGAAAATAAAGTCAATTCTCCTTTACTGAAAACTTACCTGATGCCTGCCTTCTCTATAAAATTCTAACTTCCTTTGGTGACAGTCAATGAGCTTCATATTAAGATGTGAAGAGGGGCAGTATTTTTCCAAGATTGAGAGAACTATTAGCAAAGCCAAACAACTGAGATACAGCTTCAGTTCTTAAACTTAACACAAAGTGAAAATGTATGGAAGCAAAAACCACAACCTAGACATTTCCTTTCTCATATATGTGTTCTTACATTTTCACTATTCCTGAACAGAGAGTAGAGCATGGCAAGGGCACCGTACCAGGTGACGTAAGCAGCAGAAAGACAGTTTCAAGTACACAGGTAGGTGTACATAGGTTCTACACACACACACACACACACACACACACACACACACACACACAC